TGTTTGATTTCATCAAAAATTGAATTATTAGGGTTCTTTGATATGCCAAATCTAACCGTGTATTTAGATTTTTAATTTTGGGTCCCGTTTTTTAAATTGGTCTACATTAAGGTCCAAAGGGTCCAAAATTAAACTTAGTTTGATTTTAACAAAAATTGAATTTTTGGGGTTCTTTGATATGCTGAATCTAAACATGTATTTAGATTTTTGGCCCAGTTTTAAAGTTGGTCCAAATTGGGGTCCAAAATTAAACTTTGTTTGATTTCAACAAAAATTGAATATATGGGGTTCTTTGATATTCTGAATCTAAACATGTATTTAGATTTTAGATTTTTGGCCCAGTTTTAAAGTTGGTCCAAATTGGGGTCCAAAATTAAACTTTGTTTGATTTCAACAAAAATTGAATATATGGGGTTCTTTGATATGCTGAATCTTACCATGTATTTAGATTTTTTATTTGTGGGCCCGCTATCAAATTGGTTCATATTGAGGTCAAAAGGGTCCAAAATTAAACTTTGTTTGATTTCATCAAAAATTGAATTATTGGGGTTCTTTGATATGCCAAATCTAACTGTGTTTTTAGATTTTTAATTTTGGGTCCCGTTTTTTAAATTGGTCTACATTAAGGTCCAAAGGGTCCAAAATTAAACTTAGTTTGATTTTAACAAAAATTGAATTCTTGGGGTACTTTGATATACTGAATCTAAACATGTGTTTAGATTTTTGATTATGGGACCAGTTTTCAAGTTTGTCCAAGTTTGGGTCCAAAATTAAACTTTGTTTGATTTCAACAAAAATTGAATATATGGGGTTCTTTGATATGCTGAATCTAACCATGTATTTTGATTTTGGACATTGGACCATTATAGGTAAATTAAAAAAATTGAAGTTCTTAGACCACATTCTTTTTGTGTCAGAAACCTATGCTGTGTCAAATATTTAATCACAATCCAAATTCAGAGCTGTATCAAGCTTGAATGTTGTGTCCATACTTGCCCCAACTGTTCAGGGTTCGACCTCTGCGGTCGTATCAAGCTGCGCCCAGCGAAGCATTTTATTAATTTTATTTTCTAGCTGTGGAGTGCTACCATATATCTTGTAAATGGTTGTGATGCCAACCCTGAACCATATATTTTCTGCAAGATGATTTAAATGAATAATAGGGGAAGTCCACGGGGTTTATACTTAAGGGGACTTTGTTTGGGAGATTTGTAACAGCATCCTGTTACAATAAATGAATGAATTTTAGATTAACCAATTATTTGTCTCTGGAATGAGTTACTGTTCTTGAATTTAAATGTTTGGAGTGATGACAACAAGATGTTTTAAACAACTCTGACAAACCTGACATTTCTTGTTTACAATAACATTTAAAAATATGAATGTTGAATGAATGGGGAAAGTACTTTTTAGCTCACCTGGCCCAATGGGCCAAGTGAGCTTTCCTCATCACTTGGCGTCCGTCGTCCGTTGACTTTTACAAAAATCTTCTCCTCTAAAACTACTGGACCAAATTTAACCAAACTTGGCCACAATCATCATTAGGTATTTAGTTTAAAAAATAGGTCCTATGACCCAGCCTGCCAACCAACATGGCCGACATGGCTAAAAATAGAACATAGGGGTAAAATGCAGTTTTTGGCTTAAACCTAAAAAACTAAAGCATTTAGAGCAAATCTGACGGGGTAAAAATGTTCATCAGGTTCAGATCTTTCTTCCCTGAAATTTTTAGACGAATCAGACAACCTGTTGTTAGGTTGCTGCCCCTGAATTAGTAATTTTTAGGATATTTTGCTGTTTTTGGTTATTATCTTAAATATTATTATAGATAGAGATCAACTGTAGAAGCAATAATGTTCAGCAAAGTAAGATCTACAAATAAGTCAACATGACCAAAATTGTCAATTGACCCCTTAAGGAGTTATTGCCCTTTATAGTCAATTTTTAACAATTTTTTGTAAATTTTTGTAATCTTTTACAAAAATCTTCACCTCTGAAACTACATAGACAAATTCAACCAAACTTGGCCACAATCATCATTAGGGTATCTAGTTAAAAAATGTGTCTGATGACCCCGCCTGCCAACCAAGATGACTGACATGGCTAAAAATAGAACATAGGGGTAATATGCAGTTTTTGGCTTATATCTCTGAAACTAAAGCATTTAGAGCAAATACGACTGGAGTATAAATGTTCATCAGATTTAGATCTATCTGCCCTGAAATTTTCAGAACATTCAGACAACCCATTGTTGGGTTGCTGCCCCTGAATTAGTAGTTTTAAGGAAATTTTGCAGTTTTTGGTTATTATCTTGAATATTATTATACCCCACGCAACGAGTTGTGGAGGGTATAATGTTTTTGACCCGTCCGTCCGTCAGTCCGTCCGTCCGTCAGTCCGTCAGTCCTGTTTCTTGTCATCTCAACTCCTCTCAAACCACACAACAGAATTTCACGAAACCTTTTTGGATAATAAGGACATACTATGTAGTTGTGCATATTGACAGGAAATTACGATTCAATTCTTTTTCTAGGAGTTACGCCCCTTTGAACTTATTTACTTTAATGTACTACTGCAACAGTTTGTCATCGCAACTCCTCTCAAACCACACAACAGAATTTCATGAAACCTTTTCAGATAATAAGGACATACTACGTAGATGTGCATATCGACAGGAAATTACGATTCAATTTTTTTTCCAGGAGTTACGCCCCTTTGAACTTATTTGCCCAATACACTACTGCAACCTTTTGTCATCGCAACTCCTCTCAAACCACACAACAGAATTTCATGAAACCTTTTCAGATAATAAGGACATACTACGTAGATGTGCATATCAACAGGAAATTACGATTCAATTTTTTTTCCAGGAGTTACGCCCCTTTGAACTTATTTTCCCAATATACTACTGCAACCTTTTGTCATCGCAACTCCTCTCAAACCACACAACAGAATTTCATGAAACCTTTTCAGATAATAAGGACATACTACGTAGATGTGCATATCGACAGGAAATTTCGATTCAATTTTTTTTCCAGGAGTTACGCCCCTTTGAACTTATTTGCCCAATATACTACTGCAACCTTTTGTCATCGCAACTCCTCTCAAACCACACAACGGAATTTCATGAAACCTTTTCAGATAATAAGGACATACTACGTAGTTGTGCATATTAACAGGAAATTACGATTCAATTTTTTTTCCAGGAGTTACGCCCCTTTGAACTTATTTTCCCAATATACTACTGCAACCTTTTGTCATCGCAACTCCTCTCAAACCACACAACAGAATTTCATGAAACCTTTTCAGATAATAAGGACATACTACGTAGATGTGCATATCGACAGGAAATTACGATTCAATTTTTACAGGAGTTACGCCCCTTTGAACTTATTTGCCCAATATACTACTGCAACCTTTTGTCATCGCAACTCCTCTCAAACCACACAACAGAATTTCATGAAACTGTGTAGATGATAAAGACATACTATGTAGATGTGCATATTGACAGGAAATTATGATTCAATTTTTTTTTCTGATACAATTTTTTTTTCTTACATTTATTTTAATTCTCCAATGACAATGTGGGGACGTGGGGTATGTGAGCGCGCTCACTAAGCTTCTTTAATTATAGATAGAGATAAACTGTAAACAGCAATAATGTTCAGCAAAGTAAGATCTACAAAAAAGTCAAAACATGACCAAAATTGTCAATTGACCCCTTAAGGAGTGATTGCCCTTTATAGTCAATTTTTAACAATTTTTTGTAAATTTTTGTAATCTTTTACTAAATTCTTCTCCTCTGAAACTACTTTGCCAAATTTAGGGTATCTAGTTTAAAAAATTAGTCTGATGACCTCGCCTGCCAACCAAGATGGCCACCATGGCTAAAAATAGAACATAGGGGGTAATGTGCAAGTTTTGTCTGTTATTTTGACAACCATCATAAAGAGAGAAAATCTGACAAGAGCAAAAATGTTCAGGATGTTGAGCTCTACCATTTTTTTTTTTTCATTTTTGCCGACTTTCTTCAAAACTATAATAGATACAGAGAAACTTTAAGATGATCAGCAAGACAAGTTCTACAAATAGGTCAACGTGGTCGAAATCATCAGTCGACTCCTCATTAGAGTTATAGCCCTTTGATGATGATTTTGACCAATTTTTTGCCTTTTTGCCTTATATCTTAAAATTATAATAGGCAGATAGAAACTCAGCTAGGCAAAAATGATCAGCAAAACAAAATCTACAATGAGGACAATATGAAGGAAATTGTCAGACGACTCCTTATTGGAGTTATTGCCCTTTAAAGAAGATTTTCACCTTTTTTTTTGGCATTTTGTCATTTATGATAGAAAATTATAATAGATAAAGATACACTTTAAATCACAAAAATGATCAGCAAGTCGAGATCTACTAACAAGTCAAATTTTGCGGATATAGTTAAGTAAACTGTGACTCTATAGGAGTGATTGCCCTTAAATGAGGATTTTTTTTTTATCCTCTTTTGTGTTTTGAACAAAAACTAAAGAAGATAGAGAGAAACTAAACAGGCTAAATGATCAGCAATACAAGATCAACAAAACAGATTTTTGTCATGAATTCTATTCTTGTCTACAATGTTGGAGAGTGTTCTTTGTGGAATAAGCACATAGGTCAAGGTGAGTGACACAGGCTCTTTAGAGCCTCTAGTTTACATATAGAATAACATGAATGCTCAGCAATTCTTTTTGTACGACCGCAAAAAATTTGTGTTCATATAATGCTATCATGTTGTCCAAAGACACATTTGGTTTCAGGACAATAACTTTAGTTTAAGTGAATGGATCACTTTGAAATTTTACCAGAAGGTTCAATACCACAAAATGAAGGTTGGGATTGATTTTGGGGGTTATGGTACCAACAGTGTAGGAATTAGGGGCCAAAAACAAGCATTTTTGTAGTTTCCGGACAATAACTTGTGTGTAAGTGTATGGATCTCAATGAAATTGTACCACAAGGTTCCATATCTCAAAGGAAAGGCTGGGATTGAGTTTGGGGGTAATTGCCCCAAATGTTTAGAAATTAGGGGCAAAAAAGGGGCCAAAAACAAGCATTTTTCTAGTTTCCAGACAATAACTTGTGTTAAAGTTTATGACACTCTCTGAAATTGTACATTTTTCCTGAAAAGAAAATAATCTTCAAAATTTCAATTGCAATTGAATTAAAAAATAGACTGAAAAACATTTATAACTTAATAGAATTATATACAGCAAGAAAATACAACAAAGTTTTTGAACTTGAAAAACTTTGGGCCCTATGCTAATTATTTATCCTGAATGGTAGTCAAACAACCATATTTGTATCAATATATATCTTTTTGAATTATTTATGAAAACAGAGCAAACAACATGCAATATATGCACAGCACATGTAAACCTTTTTTTTTCTATTAAATTATCTATAGCTATTTCTGTATACAGAGATTGTGAAAAGGGAGAGAGAGAGAGAATGAGAGAGAGAAGGAGAGAAAGAGAGACAAAAAGAGATTTTCAAATGATTTATATTTTAGTTTTTCATATCTTGGTAAAACAATAGTCTTGTGTTGTTATATTCTTGAAACCCTGTAACACCTTAGTCAGGTGGTGCTGACAGGGTGATGTAAAATCCTGACTTGAAAAAATAAATAAAAAATAGAAAAAAGTAACATGAATGGGAAGTCTGGTTAAGGAAGTTTATAATATGTCCTTCTTGATAATCTGACATCAAACATTATCATTGTATCAGTAAGACAACATTCCACCAAAGACAAACTGACTATAGGTCACCAAATGGCCTTCAACAATGAGCAAAACCCATACTGCATAGCAAGCTATAAAAGGACCCGATATGAACAATGTAAAACAATTAAAATGAGAAAACTAACGGCCTGATGTATGTATAAAGTGCTTTCTTAAAACTATTACAACACATTGAGGCTGAGGCATTACATTATGATCATGTATTATAATTACCTCAGATAATGTTTTTTCTGCATTTTAGTTTGTGATCCAATTCCCTATGTAGAACATGCCATCATAAAAGTTATGGGGAGATCATTTGGTGATAAAGTCACTTATGAATGTCCATCAAATCGTCGCATTGCTAGAAATACCTCAGCAACATTGACCTGTTTACCAACTGGAAGATGGGATAAAGAACCACCTTACTGTGAAGGTCAGTGATTTACCATGAAAGGTCAACAATATTTGGTAGCTAACTTGTTTTTTGGAGTATATTTATTTATGAAATAAACTCACAAGAATTTTAACCACAGTATTATGCCTTAATTAATAGGTCAAAGTATTTCAAATTTTCATATTTTCTTGATAAATATAATGTTATGTTAATTCCAAGATCAAGGTGTCTGTCTGACATCAGCTGATATGACATATAAAGTATTATATTTATTGCGAACGAAATCAAAGTTTTCCACAGAGTCATTTCCTCTTGGTCAAGGTATTTAAACTTTTGTCTTCTATTGTCCCATTGAATATATACAATAGCTATTGTTCTCTGTGTAGTTTATTCACTTGGACCTTTAAATTTCTTCGAAGAAAAATCCATCACTCATTAATATCATTGGCACAATTGAAATGTTTTATTTTTGACACAAATGAAATATGGTTTGTGGTGCGAATAAAAGATTTTTTTTGTGCAAATGAAATGCCAATTGGCGCAAAAGCAAAGCACTGACCAATTGAGATTTTAGATTAGGTCTGCTTCTCAGTAAGTGTGCTTGAAATGGATATTTGGTGAGTGAATTTTTTGCAAGGATTACAGGTGTCACATGACTTTGACATCATTAAAGCTCTGCTTAGAGGGAAGAGGTGTATACTACTTACCTCTGTCTGTCTGTATAACTGTCTGTGTGTCGGTCTGACCCATGAAATATTTTGTCAAATTTTTTTCATTAACTACATATCAGAGCTTCATGAAATTTGTTATCAAGCTTTATGTGAGCATGTTATACTGTTTGAAACAATTTCAAACCTATTGCTCATTAACTTCCTTTTTCTGTTTAAAGAATACTTATAGCAGGGTTATCATTAGTGTGCAGTACATCTTGTTTTTGTATTTTAGAGTTCATGTTATGTTTAAATTTAGGATACAGTTTGTTTATCATACTACATGTATATACAAAATAAAGATAAAAATACTTGTTGAAGATTCCTTGTATAAAGTACTTGCATAAATGACAGGTGTCATTTGACCCTGAATTCAGTTACAGAGTTCATTTAACCTTGAAATTATTTTTACTCCAGTTTTGTCAGTAGGAAAGAAATTTTAATGTGTCCACTTATATTACTTTATTGCAGGTAGATTTGAACGTCAGCCTGGTGCATTACACCAAGTTGGTAAAACCAGCAAGCAAAAAATGTATCACAACATATTTACTGTGGATGATTGTGAAGTGAAATGTACAGAAGAAACAAGGTTTAGATGTATGCTTAGTGTGTATAGACAGGGCACATGTCACTTATGGAGTAAACTACCAATATCTGAAGCCAACAATGCAAAACATTTATTGTTTCTTTCTGGAGCTTATACCTCTTCACTACAAGGTAAATAAAACAATATTTCAAGGTAAAAGAGTAGTGTATTCAGGGCCTTATTTGACCTAGAAAATGAAGAGTTGCAAAATCATATAAATTTAGTATTAAGATACATATAAGATATTCCAATAATGTTCTTTGGTCTTGGGTGACAGTTGTATCATTGGTAATTATATCACATCTGCTGAATTATGTATTATGAGAGTCTAACTGAGACTTTTGGTTCTAAAGAAGGGATTGTTTTTTTTTTCTTATACAATTGCACTGTGTCTTAATTACCCCGGCAAAAAATGTTTGGACTCAATAGTATCTAATTTCCGGTACAGTGACGGATCATCAGTAGACAGAGAAAAAATATGATTTCTGTTTATTTATTTGTTATTTTTATGATATTGAAGAAAAGAAATACACATATAACTATTTTCGATTGTAAGATGTACTATTTTCTACAACCGTTCTAGACTTAAGGAGAAATAAGTAAAAACGCACGTCAAAATGACGATTTGAGTGAACCTTGCCTTGAATTTGTTTAATTTCTCGTTAAATTGTGCACACATTGTACAAAAAGAAAGGTATGGAAAGAAAGATATTAACATGGAGATTCCAAGACTAGTCACTTTGTGCATCTCAATATTTGTATTAATTTGCATGGAACGAAAGAAATGGGTCATGTCAAAATTAAAGGACCTGGTTTTGTCTATGTGTACGACCCGGTTACGTCTTAAAATTTCTCAAAGCAGAACCCAGTTTTGTCATAGAAAATAATGCATAATCTTATTACGTTAATTTAAATCTGTCGTTCAATAGGAGTTTGAAAATGGTTTTTGCAAAGGACAACTTATCATTTATTTGAATCCGCAAACGCTTGAATTTCTGCTTTATCGGAAACATTTTAAAAAAATTTTGCTTAGTATAAAAACAACACTTTAACGGCGAAATATAAAGAAAGGAAGGTTGTAACGCAATTTGAGGTTTAAGCTCTCTGTACGTTTTTGTTTTTATGAAAAAAATATTCTGAACACTATATATTTATTATAAAGCAAGAGAATAAGACAAATGTAGATGCATGAATTTTTATGCAGCGCAATGGATTACAATAATCATGCGTTAAAGTCTTTTTACCCTCACTTTCTAACAATTATACTTAGTATAAATTAGTAAAATAGTATCAGGTCCTTCAAAAATGCAATACTGATTATTTCATTAATAATTTTATAAATAAACGGTTCTTTATCACTCCATTGTGTAATGATTATCGTACCCCTAACAGGAAGGATTGTGCTTGATTGTCATATGATGAAGACATAATCTTTCAATCAGTTAAATTGAGGTCTGGAGCTGGCATGTCAGTAACTGCTAGTAGTCCTTTGTTAATTTATGTATCAATTTCATTTTGCTTAGTTTCTTTTGTTACCTATTCTGACATCGGACTCAGACTTCTTTTAAAATGAGTTTTACTCTTCGTATTGCTGAGTGTTTGTTTTTTCTACATTGTCTAGAGGTATAGGGGGAGGGTTGAGATCTCACTAAACATGTTTAACCCCGCCGCATTTTTGTGCCTGTCCCAAGTCAGGAGCCTCTGGCCTTTGTTTGTCTTGTATGTTTTTTAATTTTAGTTCATTTATATGTTTTGGAGTTTAGTATGACGTCCATTTTCACTGAACTAGTACACATTTTTGTTTATGGCCCAGCTGAAGCCCGCCTCTGGGTGCGAGATTTTATCGTTGTGTTGAGGACCGATTGGTGGCCTTCGGCTGTTTTCTGCTCTTTGGTCGGGTTGTTGTCTCTTTGACACATTTCCCATTTCCTTTCTCAATTTTATTTGTTCTACATTTAAGGGACGTTGGTCAAGTTAAAAATTGTCAATATACAACTTACAAGGTTGGATCTAGAAGTATTTTATGCCAAAAAAAATCATTTATAAATCGTAAAAACATGATATAAAAATCTTTTTTATTCAGTAATTGGGGCGTACGCACTCTAGGCCCCCTGGATTCGCCACAAATAAATAATATAAAATATAACTATATCGTAACCATCTTAACATTTTATAAGAATCAAGAAAACAGAGACATCTGCCAAATTGGATGTATGTAAATTGGATTATCATGTTTATTTTCAAAATTCACAATGGTATTTTAGCCTCGTCGGAATGCGAGACCAAGCGGATGCAAATTCATGGCGGCTTGAACTATTTGTATAAAATCAGACTTATCATTGGTGTTGTTTAAAGCTGTTGTAACAGCAGAGGAGCTTTCATGAATTAGCTCATGAAATGACTCATTTGCTCCCTCAATAGTCAAATTTTCTGTCATCTAAAGTAATTAAAAAAGATTATTTTAATGTTAGAAATAATGATACACAAAGACAACAACATCCTAGATTACTGCAAGGAAATTCTTTATTCTGGTCTACATGTTTTCGTCTTCAGGACAATTTAATGATAGGAAACAAATACTGGAGTACATAAAATGCGGTGCATATGGGGTTACAAAGGTTAACAAGAGATTACGTCACAATAATAGGTTTGACGACGTTAAAATGAAAGTGAAAGTAAAAGTTAATAATGAATTGTCAGTATCTTTTCCAAAATGGACAACACCTCACAGGACATTCCGT